GTGGCAGAAGTGCAATGAGCTGAGATCACGCCATTGCACTCCAGCCTGGATGACAGAGGGAAACTCTGTCTCCAAAAGAAAAAAAAAAAAAAAAAAGGACATCATTCCTTAAGAAACTGAAAAGAAAAGTTACCAATGACTGCCAAAATGTACTAAATTTTATGAAAGTCTTTACCCGATTGAAATGAATTCTACCCCTAACAAAAAAGCAAAACTCAAGAAAACCAAGAAAAAAAGAAAATAGACATCACTGATATTTTTCCATCCAAAATTCTACCAAATGAAGAATAACTCTCTTTAGAGATTAAAAATTCAATCATAAGTTCACCAAAGGTTCATGCAGTAAAACAAAATGGTTACATTTCCTGCATTCTATTTTGCTTTAACCTCAAAAGAAAGCATTGAAAGTTTTTTTTTTTTTTTTTTTTTTTTTAAAGAACATCCACCTACTGAAGTAGTGAACTTTTAAAACAGGGAATTAGTTTTCATTTTGTGATGAATAATTTATTTTTCTCAGTTTGGTACAAAGGTCAATGTGGATTTTCTTTTCATCCCCAACCAATATTTAGTATTCAAAATTTTTCCTTCTTCCTCATTTTTCCCTGACTCACCCTGATGTTTTCACTCATGTATAAAGCTATTACCAACCAAATGTTTAATTTTTCCACTTTGATTTTCAAATATGCCTCTACCTCTAAGGACTATGTTACCTAAACCTCCATGATTGAAGATCCTCCCTCATTTGCTAAGAAGATTCCTGCTGAGGATGAGTTCATCACCCCATTCCAACTATGAAATCATATAAAATGTACAAGTTGAAAATTGGCAAATTAGCAGAATTATTCAGATTCAAATAAATGAAATTCAGTTATAAGGTACACACTTACTGTTCGGGCCAGATTTTGACACATTGCACTGAAGGTCAAGAGTTGTAGTCTAATTTCTGTGTCCCATTTTCGACAGTTTTGAATATGCTCATGACTTCCAAGGCAATGATTACTGTTAAGATATATTAATTATTCACTATTATTCTATTCAAATTATAAATTATAAAGGTGAGGGTAAAATTTAAATTGCACCTGCATCAGAAATTGAAGAGAATGATAAAACACAGAGACAGTTTTTAAATCAAATCTGAGCATTTAAACAGAGAAATTATTCTGTAGGAGAAGAGTCAATGTAAAAAAAAAAGAAGAGGAAGACAAAGATGAAGAAGGAAATAAGAAAAGACTAAATGCTAGATATAATAAATTACAAGGCTGGGCATGGTGGCTCACACCTATAATCCCAGCACTTTAGGAGGCCAAGGCAGGTGGATCACCTGAGGTCAAGAGTTCGAGACCAGCCTGACCAAAGGGCTGTATTTTGTAAAAACACAAAATTAGCTGGGCATGGTGGCACATGCCTGTAATCCCAGCTACTTGGGAGGCTGAGGCAGGAGAATCGCTTGAACCCGGGAGGTGGAGGTTGCAGTGAGCCGAGATCGTGCCATTGCACTCCAGCCTGGGCAACAAGAGTGAAACTCTGTCTCAAAAAAAGATATAATAAATACCTGGGTAAGAAAAAGATTCATATAACGATTATTTCAGGCAACTAAAAGGAAATCACAGCTGACTACTGTGCATAAAGTAACAGTGCAAGTTGCAAAAGGAAAATAGAGTCTGTGACTATCGACTCTTTACAGTAAGAAAGACCCATTATATCACTTATTAACCAGCTGCCTGAAGTTCTTCCTGTAAAGACTACAAGCTCCTTAAGGGAATACAATGTCTCACTTATCTCTGAACCCCCACCACTGTCTTAGACATGACATCTTAGACATCATATATTTGAATAAAAGTTTACTAATTCGATAAATCAATTCAATAGGACCCAACGTATTTCTGCATTATAAATTCAACTTGAAATTTTTCTAGATTAAACCATTAAAAATGAAATTGTCAAAGATGTTGCTCAGTAGTTAAATAAACTTACTTCTGCAGCACTTCCTCTTGACCGCAAACTTTCAGAACATAGCTGCCAACATCTACTTGATTCAAGTCATCATGTACCCAGCAAAGGGCTTGCATTATAATGATTTCTACAGTAGAACTCACTGTAAAAGAGTTAGTCATCATTTGCACTTTGCTCATTCATACTTATTCAAGACTGTATTACTTATAATTTAAGACAGCAGTATACAATAGAAATATAATGCAGTCCACAAATGTAGACCACACATATAATTTCAAATTTTCTAGTTGCCACACTGAAACAAGTAAATCGAAAGAGGTGAAACCAATTTTACTAACATGTTTTATTTAACTTAACACAGTTGACCTTCTATATATGTTGGTTCTGCATCTGTGGATTCACCAATCATGGAACAAAAATATTTGAAAAGAAAAAAACTGCATCTGTACCGAATATGTACACACTTTTTCCTTGTCATTATTCATATACAATACAGTATAGCAAATATTTACATAGCATTTACATTGCATTAGGTAATATAACTAATCTAGAGGTGATTTAAAGTATACGGTAGTATTACACATTGTATGCCTGTATCAAAACATCATTTTACCCCTTCCCTTTGATGCTTTAAAAAAAGACCATATGTACCCCATAAATATATATATACCTACTATGTACCCATGCAAGTTAAAAATTTAAAAATTAAACCAAAAATAAATAAGGTATACAGAAGGATGTGTATCAGTTATACGATAATACTATGTCATATCAGGGATTTGAGCATCCTAGGATTTTGGTATCTGAAGGGGGTCCTGGAACCAATCCCCCACAGATGATATTTAGCAGTATCTAGCAAACAATGATTTAAAATGAATCACAAGAAAATGATTCACCATTTTAAATGTTTGACATTTGCCTGGTATATTTTCCAACGAAAAATAAAAATACAGCAGGTAGGTTATACTTTTGAGATGGGGTCTAACGCTCACCTTCACTGCAGTGAGCCAAGATCATGCCACTGCACTCTAGCCTGGGTGGCAGAGTGAGACTCTCTCTCAAAAAACAACAACAACAACAACAACAACAAAAACCACAAAACTTTTCCTTTAACAACTAAAAGAATAATTGTTACAGTAGCTGATGGTTTTCGGTTTCAGATTTATATTTTTTCAAAGGGCCTTCAAAAGTACAAAGCTAGGAAGAATGTATCTGAATATTAGACACATTCCTAGTCATAACCATTAAAGAATAGAAATTGCATAATTCTTAGGCCAAAGTACTGTAGAAATAAAGGATCTCATTCCTTGGTTGGAATCCTGTTAAGATAATATATATTATGAAATGCAATAAACTCTGCAAGGAAATAAAATTAGTTTTTAAAACTGTAAGAAAAAAATTCCTACAGACATCTCTAGAGAGGACACCCATACCAAGTTTGGAAGAAAGGATTAAAATAAAAGAGAATTATCTTCTCCATAGAAGAACTTAGCAAGATATCTGGAATTTCAATTTCACTGACAGCTCTTTATAAGCAAGCATGCTTCCTGTCATAAAATGAAGGATAAAAATAAAGAATTAGATTATAATTAGCTTTTCTATCCAATGCTTTTGGGCCTTGGCCAAGAGCCACTGATTAACAAAAAGTTACTCAGCACTTTTCAGATAATTATCTATTTATAAAGGTAACCTGATTCCCCACTAGTTCTAACCAGAAAAGTATCCATATGAATGACAAAAAGACACATGATAACAAAATTGGTTTATTAAAAGAATGATAATATTGATATTTTATTTATTTATTTATTTTTTTGAGACGGTGTCTCCTCTGTCGCCCAGGCTGGAGTGCAGTGGCCGGATCTCAGCTCACCGCAAGCTCCGCCTCCCGGGTTCACGCCATTCTCCTGCCTCAGTCTCCCAAGTAGCTGGGACTACAGGCGCCCGCCACCTCGCCCGGCTAGTTTTTTGTAGTTTTTAGTAGAGAAAAGGTTTCACCGTGTTAGCCAGGATGGTCTCGATCTCCTGACCTCGTGATCCGCCCGTCTCGGCCTCCCAAAGTGCTGGGATTACAGGCTTGAGCCACCGCGCCCGGCCAATACTGATATTTTAAACATTTCCCCCTTACAGAACAAAACAAGAGGCTTGAGGAACCATAAACCTACCATCGCATGTAAAAGTAACTGGTAGCTGAAATCCTTCAATTTCAATGGAGACCTTCACACTAGCATTTTCTCCGCATATGTTTCTTTGTGCTGTGACTGGACTTAACAAATAGCCTGGGTTTGTGCGGTGATTGGTATACGGAAATTTGGTCTTCAATCTGTTCACAAGAAAGAAGAAATTAAATTCTTTTTTTAAAAACTTCATCTGAGGGCTCTGAACAAGGTTTTACATGTTTATAGCCACTCAGTTCTGTGTCATTGTCCAACTCAAGCAGCTCATGAAACTGCAATGAATGAACTCCTGTTGAAACTCCAAATACCAGCATTTTCCTTTTAAATAAAAGAAACCCAAGGAAAAGGAAGAGACGACCTACTGCCAGGATAGCTTTGGTAACATTATCAACACTACCCAAGCACATGCTTGGATAAATGGCATTTTAAATGAGGTCCTCTGCTTAAAAATCTTTTGCCACACAGTATAAGTACACAAAATGGTACCTTTTAAATGATTCTATAGGCAATGTAGTCCTAAAACTGTGATGGCCAAAAGGATAAAATGTTTGTTGTCTTGAAAATTTTTTTTGTTCTAAGGACCTTTTTCCTACAAACGTTGTTTTTGGCTGCTAGATAATGAACAAAATACAGACAATGGTTTTTTACAGTGCTCCAAGGCCTTTCTTCCCTCAAAGTGATTTCTAAAACTTAGGGAATCGAAAGAACTGCCTGTGAAGGTATTCTTAGGAGCAACACAGTTTAAAATTAAATATATGAATGTGGTGTATGGCTCGTCTCCAGCCAGCACTGCTGTTATCATAAGACAAAGACAGATTTGATAACTTCTTTACACTTGTGAGCTCTTTTAAACTGATTTTTTTCTAGAGGTTAGAAGACAGGGACCAGTCCTCCTACCTGCTTTTCATAGGGTTATGAATGGAATGAATGCTAGAAGTATTATATACTTGCTTCTGTAGAGATTAAAATAATCAGGTCACGGAAGTAGAATAAAACAGCTTGAGTTGACAGAAAAAGGTTCTGGAGAAGTAGCACATGTAAGCATTAGTGCATATCCTCTAGAGCCAAATTACCTTATATTGAATCCTGATTATACTACTTATTAGCTGTGTGAACTTATGCAAGTTATTAAATCTCCTTGTTGCTTCGGTTTTTTCTTCTATAAACTGGGGGTAATACTACTACTTACCTGATAGGGTTGTTGTGAGAATTACGTGAATTTAGTTTATAAAGCATTTAGAACAGTGCCTAGTACATGGTAAGTGCTTTAACCTTCTTGTCAAATAAATGAGTTAGTGAAGGAATAAATCTGGTTTTTGCACTGAACTCTTAAGCAACACAAAGGATCCAATATTAAAAATATAATACACCCTTTCTTTATAAATTACTCAGTCTCAAGTATTTCTTTATAGTAATACAAACACTAAGACAGATGCTCACATCAAATCATGAAATTAATGTATGAAATGTTAGAGAATTTTTTCTACATCTAAGCAAGCTTTCAATTTTCAGAAACCGTTAAGGATGACGAAAGTAAAAGCAGAATTTCTTGATAGCTAAGAAAAGAATTTATTAGACAAAAATTCCAGTGATAAAACTTAGCTTTGTTTGAGAGGAGGAAACCTGCATTTCCCTTTCTTAAAATAAGTCCTTTCTTTTACACAACAATGTGAATGTAACTATGTCACTGAAATGTATACTTAAAACCAGTTAAAATGGTAAATTTTGTTACACATATTTTATCACAATTTAAGAAATGTTTTTATAATGGGTCCTTTTTGTATTTACTTGGTACCATGGAAGATACCAGATCCAGAAAATACACTAATTTCCTTTTACTGTAAAATTGATTTCTTCTAATCCATGGTTTGTTTGCTTTATAAAAATTGCCAAAAACCACAAAACACGTAAGATGTAAGATTCCTTACAATTGAGGTTTTTTTGGTGGGTTTTTTTGTAACTAAATGTTTAAACATTTAAACATACAAAATCAAATTAAACTACTCAATGAATAACTGCTGTCTGAGTAAATTATTCACTTTAAATATAGATCAGATAAGGTATTTTTATGGATACTCTAAGCCACACATCACAGTTTGATGTTCTTAAGTAACTACCTATAAAGAGTATTTAACTCTAATTTTTATTTTTTCTAAAATTTCTACTCCCCTATCACCCAAATAAAAGGCTTTGTCTGTTTAGTGTAGATCTACAGTTTAGGAAATTCAGTATCTCTATGCAGAAACAAAAATCCTTTATGGTTTATTTTTCTACTTTTGTGTGCTCAATCAGACTAAAATTCTGCACAGATAACCAAATCATACAAAATCAGAATATAAAGAGAAGAGATAAAAATGAGGGTTTTGAAAGATTTCAAATGAATTAACATTATTCTATAGGAAAGTATATCAGCACTACTTAGAATAAAATTAACCAAATGCAGAGTTGAAGTCCTTCAAAACACATAGCAAGTTTTTGGGGTCAAGATACTAGTATAGGATATAAATAGTATATATATTAATATTATATGACCATAAAGCTATTCAGAAAGACAGGTGTAGAGTGTGGTTTCTCATCTTATCCTAAAGGACCACAAATAAAGTGGCACTAACTTCTACTGGTATTTAACACTATTAGAAGAACTTTCTTGACCGGGTGCGGTAGCTCACGCCTGTAATGCCAGCACTTTGAGAGGCCGAGGTGGGCAGATCACCTGAGGTCAGGAGTTCAAGACCAGCCTGGCCAACATGGTAAAATCTTGTCTCTATTAAAAATACAAAAAAATTAGCTGAGCATGGTGACACATGCCTATAGTCCTAGCTACTCAGGAGGCTGAGGCAGGAGAATAGCTTGAACCCAGGAGGCAGTGAACCGAGATCGCACCACTGCACTCCACCCTGGGCAACAAGAGTGAAAACTCCGTCTCAAAAAAAAAAAAAAAAAAAACCATTTTCAGCACCTGTAACTAGTAGATATAGCAAGCTTTGTCAATTACGATAGGTGTAAAACGAAAAAAATAAAGAAATAAGACAAAAACTCAATAATAATGAAAAGTAGTCCTTAATCAATGTATTACAGAACCTTAAACTGAAAGAGATCTTTGAAATCACTAGTCCAACTCTTTAATTTCACAGATGAGAAACAACAACAAGAACCAATACCTAGAACTGCTAATAAATTCCAAGTCTGTTTTATATTTTATCTTAACTATAAACAAATATCATTCTGACAGCCTGACACTAATTTCACAGCTGAATTTAAACGAATAATTTTTGGAGATCTCAAAAAGCAAAGAACTGGCTCTCTAATTAAAAGCCTAAAATTTGTTTTAAAAATCCGCTGCAAAATGAGCATACGGGAAAAAATAGAGCCACTAATTTCAAAGTACATCTCCTCACCTCAATCTCCATGGTCACCACAGGGGAACAAGAGAAGTTCCTAGAACATGGCTTCAAAAACAGCAGTACTTCTTACTGCTCTAATATTTGTTACAATCATAGTCTACTAATGAAAATAAAATTACAAAAAGAACTCATTCTCTCTTTAGTCCATTTGCAGTTTTGTACCACATAAATGTGTGTGTGTGTGTGTGTGTGTAAACAAAAACAATCATTTTCAATTAGTGGCAGAGTTTGTATAAATAGCTCTATGATTCAAATGCGAGAAAAAAGGTAGGTCTCAGCTACCTAACTTCTCAACTTGCAAAGCTTAAATGTAGTAGTTACTTAACATGGCCTAACAGAAAAATACAAGGCCTGTTTGGGGAGAGTAACCTTTGCCAAGAAAAAGTGACTCTACTGATAATATTTTTTTTCCTAAGGTATTCTGAAGAAAAGAAATGCTGGTTAAAAGGTAACATAAAGGAAGACAGAGTTTTAATAAAATATCACCAATCGTCCAGAAAATCTCATTAAATATTAAGTTCTTTAACATTAAAATAATGTACATATTCAAAAATGTTCTGGGAACCCCAAATCCTGCTATGTTTAAAGCAGACCACACTGAAGACAATGCTGGATTCAGAAAAAAATCTCTCAGTGGTGATCTACTTCCCTTTTTTAGATAACAGATCTCTCATCCTCTTGGCCACAAGGATTGTTGTTCCACTCTTTCCTCCTGTGGGATTTTCCTATCTGGCTAGCGCTAAGGGGACTCCTTTTTCTTCTCTGCTACTGAGACTATTCAATTGCATGGAGGAAAGGCAGAGGAAGAAAAGTGAGGAAGGAGAAGGAAAGGAAAGGGAGTGGACAAGGAGAATCGAAGGAAGGAGGGATGATTTATAGTAATGAATTCCTGAATCTTGCTGTTAATGAACTCTGCCCCATCCTTCCTCTATCTGCTATTTGGGTTGTGAACGTGACCCTTTTTAAGTTCAAGATGGGTTTTAGCACTTGTAACAGAAGTCATGACTAATATAGTGATATAATGGGAAGAAAACATGCTTAACCAGAAGCAAAAGAGACTTGGTTCTATTATTGATATTACTGACTAGCCAAGTAAACTTTGTTAGGTTACTTCTCTGAGTCTCAGTTTCCTCACCTATAATGAATATTAGACTCATTTAAGATTGAGAGAACATTCTATAAATGTGTTTCTCTAAACTTCAGAAATATATTTGCTCTTCTAAACTTGCCTGTTATAATATCATCTCTTAAATGTGTAAGACAGTATTTTGAATGCTAGAAAGTTTACAGCAAAATTAAGTCTAAGACAAAAGTAGGTATTTTTTAAGTGTACTGAAATTTACAGGTAAGTCATATTTTTTACTGGTTATTATAGTATCAGAAGTCTAATGTCTGACCTCAACTTTTTCTTCCAAATATTAAGAAATCTAACATGTGAAGACATAAGTTCAACTGTAGTTTGTGGTAACGTGCCAATTAACTCTGACTTGAAATTTTAGCCACAAGAAGAAAATAATTAAAATTTTTAAAATTTTATCATTATTAGCACTAAACTGGTTTTCAAGTCAATTTTTCAAACGAACATTTATAAAGAAAAATTCCTTACTTTGTAATGGATAGACAAAAAGCTGCCATCTCCTCATTCTGTACTTCAACTTCTTGAAGAAGAGAACTTCCAGTTGGCAAATTACTGGTCCCATTTGGGTCTTTCTGTAACTAAAAGAGTGTTTTTATCTTAACAGTGGAAGATCCACAAAATGCTACATAGCAGCACAGCACAAACACATTTTTATGAAAATATGTACAAAGCTATGGAAGTAAATCATATCAATAACAAATTTTTTAATTATATATTTCTATCTTTGTAAAAGTAATGTCAACTAAGCCTGATTTTAGTTCATTGGTTTTACTTGATCAGTAGTAGAAACAGGATGTACTAGAGTAAGAATGGAAAGATAAAGACCTTTCCATTCCAAATATTGCTAAAATAGACACTTTAGAAATTTTACAACTAAATGAAATTAAAGGACTCTCTGTTTTAAGAAAATGAAGAGATCAAGCCCATTTACGACTCTTCTAATCAGTCAGAAATTCTATATATTCAACTAGGCCCCAAATTCCAAGAAAGAAGATGATTTTTTATGTAAGAGAATGGGCATTTTCTAGGTTAATAAACTTATACAAACATCCTTACAATCCCTCAAAAGTTAAGTTTACGTCTGGTCAAAAACTGTTTACAGCTTTCAGGGAGATCAATTCACCACCCAAGCATAGCCCAACAGCAGAGTCCATTGAGAGTGTTTTGACACTACATAAAAACACTTGATTTGGGGCAAATTTCAAATATAAATTCTCTTTAAAATTAGAATTGGAACATTCTCAATTCAAAATTCAGTGAGAACAAAGTGCATACATTTCAAGAGCTATAACACTTTTCAGTGACTATGGCACACAAAAAGATTCTTCTTTTTTTTTTTTTTTTTTGAGACAAGGACTCATTCTGTCGCCTAGGCTACAGTGCAGTTGCTCAACAATGGCTCACTGCAGCTTTAACCTCCTGAGGTCATGTGATCCACCTCAGCCTCCCAAATAGCTGGGACTACAGGCATAGGCCACCCCACCTGGCTAATTTTTGTATTTTTTGTAGAGTCGGGGTTTTACCATGTTGCCCAGGATGATCTCAATCTCCTGGGCTCAAGCAAGCAATCTGCCTGCCTCAGCACACAAGATGATTCTGTGTGAGAAAATTAAACTGAAAATTTAGGTCAACAATTCCTTTATGAGTTTCCTTCCTTTAAAACATGTCAGAGCCCTTTCTGCTAGAATGTGATATACACACTTGGAGAAAAAAATAAATACTTCGAGTTCTACAAAAGCACAACTAAAAAGTAACAAGTCTCCCGGGGAAAAGAGAGTTAAGGTGGACTACTGAATATCAATGTAGCCAGGTGTGGTATTGCACACTTGTAGTCCCAGGTACCCAGGAGGCTAAATTAAGAGGGTCAGTTGCGTCCAGAAGTTTGAAGCCAGTGCAAGCAATACAGTGAAACTCCATCTCTCTAAAAATAAAAATAATTTTTTTATATCAACATAACTCTGTAATCAAAGCCCTAACTCAAACAATAACAGGTCCTTATAAAAATAATTGCACAGTTAAATGTCTGCTCCCATTTGCATCTAGCATTACATCCTTTGAAGCCTAAAACTCTGGGGCTCTTGTTTCCTCATTTGAGATATGAATTCTTCAGGACATATGCTTCTAGTCAAAATAATTGCAATGAAGTTAAAAGCACAGTACCACTGTGGGAGGCCGAGGCAGGTGGATCACCTGAGGTCAGGAGTTCAAGACCAGCCTGGCCAACATGGTGAAACCTTGTCTCTACTAAAAATACAAAAATTAGCCAGGCGTGGTGGCAGACACTTGTAATTCAAACTACTCAGGAGGCTGAAGCGGGAGAACTGATTGAACCTGGGAGGCAGAGGTTGCAGTGAGCCGAGATCGCGCCACTGCACTCCAGCCTGGGTGACAAAGTGAGACTCTCTGTCTCAAAAAAAAAAATTCAAAGAGAAATGTTTTTGCAGCTTCTTGGTCTGCAAACATTGTTACAGCTGACAGATTAATACTGTGGAATGTGAAACTGTTCCTGAAGCCACTCATTTTCACTAATAAGAGGACACTTCTGCAGAATTCTCAGTGTTTTCCTTATATCTTCATAGTGCTAAAGCTTTCTCTTAGGTTGTGAGAAGTTTGTTTCTGATTATTTCAAAAAGTTAATATGCTGGGAAAGATTACGTCTGAACTAATGCTATTTCCCCCATTATACTGACATCAGTCTCATAGCTACTATCACACATCAATCAGTTTGTATTACAGAAGCAACCACTATGAGAGACTATATTACTCTAAAGAATGGGATTTGATATTTCCTAGCAAATCCTCTGGTTTCACACTCCAAATCTGCCACAATCTAATCCAATCTTATTTCCCAGAACTTCCCTAAAGATTTCTATGTTCCAGTTAGCTTGAATCATATCCTGTTCCTATAAAACACAAATCAAGCTATCTTGCCTCTGGGCCTTTCCCTTCACCTTCCTCTTAAACTTCCTTCACCACATTCGTCAAAAATCTATTAATTTTTAAAGGTCCAACTGAATGCAACTTCATCGGCAATGCCCTTCATGATTACTCAGTATGAAGGAATTCTTCCCCCCATACTTCTAAGTACTTAGTCTGAACCAAACATCGTATTATTAAATCCTGTTTTATATTTGTCCTAATGTGAAAGCTCCTTGAGAACACAAATAGCATTTTGTTGAATTTTGTATTTTTGTATCCAGTTTAGAAGCATTCAGTCATTAGTTCAATGTGAACTTTTGCTCCCCCAAAAACAAGTTAAAATTCACTTACATATAACCAATGAATCTATCATAGAAATCATAAAACATTTAAAAATATAAGACAATATGTAGTTCCTTCAATAACCTTCCGAAAAGAGTAGCAGTCATTTTCATTAGTATTTGATTCTATAAAATCAGCCTTTTCTAGGCTTGGCACAATGGTTCACATCTATAATCCCAGCACTTTGGGAAGCCAAGGCAGGAGGATCACTTGAGCACAGGTCCTTGACCAGCCTGGGCATCATAGTGAGACCCTGTCTCTCTAAAAGTTTCTTCAAAAAATAGCTGGGTGTGGTGGCATGTGCCTTTAGTCCCAGCTACTAGGGAGGCTGAAGTGGGAAAATCATTTGAATCCTGGAGTTTGAGGCTGCAGTAAGCCATGACTGCATTCTGTACTCCAGCCTGGGTGGCAGAATGAGACCCTGTCTCAAAA